AATGCCCACAGAGGACAGAAGAGACTGTAGGATCCCCTGGAACTGGAGTTATGGACAGTTGTTAGCTGCATGTGGGTGCTGGGATTCGAACTCGGGTCTTCTGCAAGAACAACCAGTGTTCTTAACCACTGAGCCATCTCTCCAGCCCCATCTTTTTTTTAATGTTTTATTTTTATTTTATGTGTATGAATGTATTGCCTGCATGTATGCAAGTGCACCCATGTTGTACAATGTCTGTGGTGGTCAGAAGAGGGTGTTGGATCCACTGGACTGGAGTTACAGATGGTTGTTAGCTACCATGTGGGTGCTGGGAATCAAAACTTGGGTCCTCTGCAAGGGCAGTCAGTGCTCTTAACTGCTGAGCCATCTCTCCTGTCCCTCTAATCTTTCCTTTAACAGCCAATGAATGAAATATTAGTATGACATATTTGCTGAAAAGAATTTGCTCTTATATCAGGAACTTGAACCAGAATACTTTTATTTTTCACTCAGAACTTTAGGTTATTTAAATTTAAGACAATATTATGGAAAGCATAATCACTGAAACCTTCAAAGACACTAACATTTTACCTGTAGAAACCCTGAAATAGCCCCACTTGGTGTACACTTATAGAGTTTGCTAGTGAGTACCCATAATCGCTTTCTTTGCAACAAGTACCTGCCTAGCTTCTTCTTCCCCACATGCAAGCCCTGGTCAGTGGATGCCTTTCTGTTGGTCATGGTGGTCATTTCTGAGATAGGATTTCCCAAGTGAGTTCAGATGGTACTAAAGAGACTCTAATCCAGAGCTTCTGTTTGAGCTTTGGGGACTAGTCAGCTTGTTTCCATAGGAGGTCAGAGAATGGGGTTGAAGAAGCAGAGAAAAATCTACCCTTGTCATACTTTTATACACTGGATCAAACCATACCTGTAGCACTTGAGTTATCCAACGTTCCAATGAAATGTTTATAATTCAGAAAGTGTTCATGTTATTCTTGAGCCTTTGCCTAATTTTTATTACATATTCATTTATTCACTAGTTTTGTGCATGTGCGTGCATGTG